GGGTATAAGAGTAACAAGGGGAATGTCACACCTTTCCAGTTGTCTGAGTCCAGAATGTCCTTGGGGTTCCCAGCAAGTGGAACCTGTTCTTAAGTCCCTGGAATCTGGGAGAATGCTGTCACTTTAAATATCCAAAATGGTCAAACCACTTGTAAACATTCAAAATGGCTATGCCCTCCAGACAGGCAAAAGTCCACAGCTCAGCCCGCCTTCCTCTTCGCTGCTTCTCCTTTTATTCCCCAGCCACCAGAGCAGTCCCTGGCTAGCAGGGCCAATTTTTAGGTTAATTCTTAGGTCCTACCACCACTCGGCAATATCCAAGCTGTCTGTGCTGTCAGGATTACTGCCAGACCGCAGCTCCGTTGTCCCCTTTTTTGGTGTTTGCATACAAATTCTACTGCTAGTTGGAGGTTAGTCTGCATCTATATCCTTCCCTTAAGGCTCAGGGGTCCAGAATTATCTTCTGTATCTGTGTTAATTGGTTCCCCTTTTCTTTGTTGAAGAGGGTCTGTGCAGTCTTTCTGCCTATTCTGCCATCTTACCGGAACTCAGGAATCTTTCAGAGTAGTTATGTATCATGATCTCCATATAATGCAGGATAATGTCATTATTGCCAGACTTAGAATCAGTTCTGGCACTTAGTGAGCATTCAGTAAATATTTGTGGAGTGAATGATGAACAAGAAGAAAACTAAGGCTCAAAGGTAAAATGACTCACTCCTAAATGGAAGAGCCAGAATTTAGATCCAGGACTGCCTTGACCATATTGTGCTACATGATTAATTGTCTTTGTTTTGTGAAAGAGAAGTCTTTGGGAAAACTTCAGGAGGCTTTGAGGAACTTGGAGAACAACACCTTAGCATGGAGGAATTCATTCAGAAGGGATCTTCTAAGGGAAGAAATGTTGTTGTTGTTGTTGTTGCTACTGTTGGTTGCCAGCAAGTTGGCTCAGAATCACAGCACCTTATGGACAGAGTGAATCTCCTGAAATTCAGAATGCTGAAGTTATGGTTCTTTCACCTCTAGAATTAAGAAGTGTCAGTGAGGTCCCCTGCAGTTAGTATGAGGCTAGGTCATGGGGCCAGGGAGCTCACCTGAATGGAGAAAGTAAGGGAACCCTAAAGGGTTGTTTGACAGGTACCTGGATTACAGCCCCTGTGGCTCGGAGACTCTCTTCACCACCACCCTAACAATGGAGATCAGAAGCTTTGGCATTTCTGGGACCAGGAAATGTGATTTGCTTTTATCACTACCATACGCCTTTATGTCCACATAGCACTTCCCATGGGCACACTTGGCCCTTTCACAGTATTTACCCCTTCCATCTCCATACTTCCCTGGGAGGAGGGCAGAGCAAGTTTATCACCCTCATTTGGCAGGTGAGGAAACTGGCTCAGAAAGATTTCCAGAATGCCTAGGATCTCACCCCCAATGTGTACCAAAACCAGGGTGCTATAGACAATTTGGAAAACAAAAACATACTAGGAAAACCAAAAATCATTGTAATTCCACTACCAAGAAATTACTACAATTAGCATTATTAGGGGCAGGCTAATAGTAGGAAGGAAAAGAAGGATTCAATGCTTAGAGGACACTGAGCTTCTGTTAAGGGAGGTGGAAAAATTTGGGAATGGATAAGGGTGATGGTTGCCCAACATGATAAGCATCACTGATGTTCCTGAACTATGAGATTGCTGAAATATCAAATGTTTTGTTACAAATATATTTACCACAATTAAGAAAACTACCACAGTTAATATCTTCTTATATTTCCTTTTAGACATTTTTCAACTTTTTTACAAAATTGGGATCATATTTTTATGTACATACTATTTTGAAATTTGCTCTTTTAATGATTAATTTTGATGTCCCACTATATAGATGGCTGATTTTTTTTTTCCCCTTCTAGTAAAGATTCCTGCTAATATCAACTCCACTTCTGTGGTCCTGCAAGCTACTGACAAGTCCGATAACCCAGTAGGCACCTGGCAAAACACAAGCCAAGGAGGCCAAGACTGTAAGGGCAGCGGCAAGTATGACATGGATGCCTTCAACAGCTCATTCTTCCTGGCATACTGGCTATCTCCTGATTCTGGAAACATAGCTTCAGTCAAGATACAGTAAGAACCTATCTATATATGTTTTGCTTTGATTGTTTTTATTTCAAATTGGTTTTACACAGTTTTAAATTGACCTTGGAGGATTCAAATTACAAACTGGGTGCCATATGGTAAATTCAGTAGGTACACTCTCTTTTCTGCCTCAGCATTCTTCATCTGATCTTTTATCTATAGGTATTTATACACACAGATACCATTTACAATCAATATAAATAGGACACAAATTAAATCAATATAAATTGGATAAGTATTAATTTGGACACAAATTCTTGATCCTCAAACCAAAAACTCACTTAAAAAGGAAAAAAGATTTATTTTGGAAATGTCTATCAGAAAGCGTGAGGATTGTGTGACCTTTCTAAAGTCACCCAAAATGGATGCGCTCAGATTCTGTCCAGATTAACAATAAACCTTCCTCAAGCTAGGGATTTGTCACCAGGTTTATTTTAGGAATCAAATGTTAGAAAGTATTTATGTATCCAATTGTCATTTTGCACTGAAAGCACAGGTCTGACTGTAAGGCCATGTCCTCTGTGAACAGCCACCAAGACTTTGTGGGTGGTGGTGACAATGATGATGATGTTATCAAGCCATTCTACCCTCTCCTGCTATACTCTAGGCCTGGTTGAACCCAATGGGCTTTGTAGAGGATACTTTTGTGTGTACAGAGTGACTTGCAAGAGTAGAACCCAAAGAGAGCTACTATAATCCAGCTTCCCAGTGACAGCAGCCTTTCAGAAGCCAGAAAAAACTAATGAGGAAAATCATATACCTTTCACTTCACCTTATTAAAGCCTTGCAATAATAGGTGAAAAGACAAACAGAGACAGTAGGTAAGTGAAACATCACACTCATGCTGACAATGACCATGCAGTTTCCAGACGCCTCCTGACTTGTACACCCCCTATAAGGCCCTGGACACGCTGCTTTTTTACAATGTAGACATATGGCCAGGATCAACAAGGCTGACCCAGGGTAAGAGAGTACCACATATTAGGGAGGACACAGAGCAGAAGCTCTCCTGTGCTGGGTACTATACTGGGACATAGGATACAAAAGTGGTGTGAAAAGGTCCTTGCCCATAGGACTTCATGATCATGTTGGGGAATCAAGGCCTATACAGAAATAATTACTGAGGTTAGACATCACTTCCTCAAGAAGAAAGCATTCCCTAAAGCCCCAGACCAAGGTAGGGCTCTCTGCTATACACTATCATAACTTCCACTTCTTCCTCAGAGCATGTATCACAACTGCATTTAATTACCTAATTAAGTCACAGATTATTCGCTTAAAACCTGTCTTTTGGAGGAGACTTTAAGTGCCACAAAAGAGCACTGTTCCCTCAGCACCAAGTGCCGTGACTAGCAGGTAGTGTACTTGCATTAATTATGCGTTGAAAAAATGTGTGAATAGGCACTGTTATAATAATGGACCCTCTGATATAAAAACAACAACAAACCAAGTTGGGCAGGTTATCTAACAAATCTTAACAAGCACCTACTATGTGTGGGTATTATGTGACAACAGAATCTGCCCTCAAAGAGCTATAGGTAAAAAGAATCCTCAGCAAGTCAATGCAGTAAAGGGTTGTGGCTCTCTGATGGTGGTCCATCTCAGTTACATTAATAGAGAGAAAAGACCTCATAGAGAAGGTGACAGTTGAGTCTACGGGCAGATATGACAGAGATGGGCAATATAGGCAGAGGGCCTGACTTGAACAAAGGCCAGAGTGTGTAACTGCCCGTGAGGATTTCAAGGTGGAGAAGTTGGAGGGGATGGTGGATGGGAGAGGATGTCTGGAGCAAGACTGTGGAAGGCGTTAGGGTTAAGACCCTAAAGGGTATAAAACAGACCAATATTTAATGAACTGCTAGTTGTGTGGTAGAGAGAGTAAGCAGAAAGAATTGGAGGTTGGATCCTCAAAGAAGGAGCCCCTTGAGAAAAATCTGAGCTGAACCTGGAAATCTCTCAAATGAGGTCCTCACCATCACCTCTCATTGTTTGCCTTCTACAGAGCCATCACTATGTATTCCGATAAAAATTCTACATATTCTTCTGTGAAGCTGTGTAACACAAGTAAGTTCTCCTCAGCCCATCTGCATATCTGGCAGGCAATTCCATCAGCCTGGAAAATGACTCTGCAGGTGCCCTAGAAAAGGGGGGTCTTCTAATCACACATAGAGATCCCTGAATGGCACAAACAGCTTGCACTCATCTACTAACCAAAAGGAAGGCATTCGAACTCACCCAGTGGTGCCATGGAAGACAGACCTGGTGATGTGCTTCCACAAAGATTATAGCTAAGAAAACCCCATAGAAAAGTTCTACTCTGTAACATAAGAGGTTGCCATGTGTCAGAATTCACTCTGCGACAATGGGTTTTTTGGTTTTTAAATCATGTGTTATCCAGATATCACTTGAAATCTCCCAACACCTTGAGAATCACATAAGATTAGTTCAACTCCTTATTCCAAAAAAAAACAAAACAAAACTCAGTGCCATCAACTAGGATCCTATTCATAGCAACCCCTCCTTGGGTTTCCAAGGCGGTATCACTACGGAAGTAGAATGCCCAACCTTCCTTCTGAGGAGTGGCTGGTGGGTTTGCACTGTCAGCCTTCTGGTTAGCAGTCAAATGCCTTAGGCACTATGCCACCAGAGCTCCCCAAACTGGAAAACAAAAGACCTGCACAAAATGTCTGCAAATTCCCAGGGCCCCATATCTTCATGATCACCTCTGTCTCCAAACTGCTATTTCTATACAGTACCACATAGACACCAATAGGAAAATAAGCTCCTTCTTCAAAATCCACAAAGAATTCCCACTGGCTTAAGGGGTATAGTAGCCTTTAAGCAAACAGTTGTAGTGGCAGGGTTGGGGAGGAAGAGAAGAAGAAGGAGTTGCACGTAAAAGGGTTTATATCACAGAAATACCAATAATTTTATTAAAATTAAAGTAGCCTTTGGCCACCACCACAACTAAAAATTTCCACTGGCCTTGCACGGGCTTTGTTCCCAACCCCACACCATCCTGAGTCTTCTTGCCCTTCTTCTCCCTTCTCTGTCCCCTTTCCTTTCCCTTACTTCCTTCTGGGAGCTAAAACAAATTCTAGAAACTGAGGGTCAGAAAAGATAGGTAACTTGCCTATGACTACACAGAAAGTAAATGGCAAACCAGGACTCAAATTCCATACCTTCCACTTTTTTCTACTTTATTTAGACTTATACCAAAAGTATAAAGAGATTTTTTTTTAATATTTTATTGCAGTTTGGGTAAAAGCTTACAACGAAAATTAGTTTCCCATTCAACAATTTATATGCATGTTGTTTCGTGACGTTAGGTGCGAACCCCTCAATGTTACAACACTCTTCCCACTTCTCCCTGGGCTCCCCATTTCCATTCACCCTTCTTTCCTGCCCCTTCCTGCCTTCTGAACTTTGTTTTTGGGCAAATATTGCCTTTTGGTCTCATCTAGTTGATTGTTCTGAGGAGTACATTCCTCACAGGTGTTATTCACTCTATAGGCCTATTGATTGGCTGAAATGTGATTCCCAGAGGTGGGTTCAGTTCCAGGTTCCTCAAAGATGTTTTTGAGATGAACCCTCCTGTCAATGTTAAGAATAACATGTGTTTCTTGTTGGGACCCTCTAGTTCTTTGCCACTTGCCATGAATCAACGCTGACTCATGGTGATGCCATGTATGTCAAGCTGTAATTGTGCTCCACAGGGTTTTCAACTTCTAATTTTTCAGAAGTAGATTGCCAGGCCTTTCTTCTGAAGTGCCTCTAGGTGGACTTGAACCATCAACCTTTCAGTTAACAGCCCAACAAGTTAATCATTTGCACCACCCAGGGACTCCCCTTACTCCAAAGCTTCATGCTAATAAAATCCAAAAAGAGGAAAAAGTGGTTGTGTTCAGACTTTCTGGCACAGTAGGATGCCAGAGGAACATTTGCCCCAGGGAAGTGTGGAATGAGATAAGACATTACCACAAAACTGGGAGGCACCCTCCAGGCAGGCAGAAAAAATACACCAGCCTGAGTACACCACTGACATTTCCCTTCCTTCCACCTCCTCCTTATATCCATTGTTGTAGACTTGTTTGTACAGTCTATTTGGACTCTTAGTGACCCTATGGGACAGACTAGAACTGCCCATAGGGTTTCCTAAGCTGTAATTTTTACAAAAGCAGACTGCCACATCTTTAGCCTGTGGAACAGCTGGTAGGTTTATACCACCAACTGATTCGCAGCCGAGCACTTAGCCACTGCGCCACCAAGGCTCTTTTGCCTCTTCCTTATAGTCCTGTCTGTATTTACTCACATACTTCCTGGGTAATGAATGGTTAAGTGTTGGTTAAGTATTGACTATCAGATGAAATGTCAGCTATTCGAACCCTCCCTGAAGTGCCTCTGGCCATCTGCTTCTGAAAGTTCACAGCCTTGAAAACCCTATGCAACAGTTCTACTTTGCACACATCAGGTGGCTATGAGTTGGAACTGACTCAGCAGCAACTCACTATAACATATCCACTACAGATTTTCCAGAGTCAGAAACCCTTCCAGGGCTACAGGCCTAGCTTTCTCTGCTAGCCAAGCAAGGCAAATTCAAGAACCAGTGCCTGGTCAGATCCTTCATGTGAAAAGGACCACAGCCTGCGAGTGGGTACCTGATGCTCATACAGCACAGAAAGAGATTCAGAGTTTGAATGAGCATGCTTCCTCTTCCTGTGAAGTCAGGATGGCTGCTCTCAGTTGTTAAAAGCTTTACATGTGACCCTTGAAACTAGCAAGAAAAATAACATTGGGCTGTTCTGGATCATACATGCACTGACATTAAATGGCAATATTAAGGATAGTCGAGGGCAGACTATCCACCCCTCACAAATTCAGTAGTTGTATAAATTCAGTAGGTGTTGTTCCCCTATCACACACATAAATGTCACTGTGCAGGGCTGCACAGACTTCAAGGGTAGAGGTTTTTCACTTATTTTTGTTTTTTGATATCCTGTACCTAACATTGGGAGCTCTGGTAGCATAGTGGCTAAGACACTTGCCTGCTAACCAGACGGCTGGCGGTTCAAACCCACCAGCCACTCCTCGGAAGGAAGGTTGGGCAATCCTACTTCTGTAGTGATACTGCCTCAGAAACCCAAGGAGGGGTCGCTATGAGTCGGGTTTGACTCGACGGTACATAACAACAACAACAACACCTAACATTACCCCTCCTCGACACACTTGCACTTGATAAGTGTTTATAGAATTTGTCTTATGAATTCTGACTCCAGTGTTCCATCAGATTAGCCTCCTTCTCAAATGCCCTCCCATCACCCAACACAGGTTATGATGCCATTGGTTTTTTTCTTCCAGCAAAATCCATCATTCCAATTAGAAGTAAATTCAAGATGAGGAACACCATGGGCACGCAAACTGCAGGCCGAACCACAGCCAGAAGCAAAAGCTTGGCCAACATTTACAGCAGCCCTATCACCACTGCCATTCAGATCCTGCTTGTCTTCCTCACCAGCAGACTCCTCTTCTAAAAGGAAGCTAGGGAAGGAAATGTTCCTGCCTCCACTGCACCCTCCTGTACTCAGTTTCAAGTCAGTGCTTGGACACGTGTGTCAATGAAGGCTTTATATTCTCAAAATGTACAAACTCTGCTGCCACTGCTTCTGACCTGGGATCACTTGGTAGAGGGTAGTCGATCAACTCACTAGTGAGCTTGGGTCACACAGATGTCCAACTGGATCTTTCAGAACACAAATTATGCTTTTTATAACTACCTAGACCTGGCCTAGGGAGCCTTGGTAGTGCAATGGTTATGCGCTTGGCTGCAAATGCAAAAGGCCAGCAGTTCAGCCCTACCCAATGGCTATGCAGGAGCAAAGACCTGGTAATCTACCCTCATAAAGTTTACAACCCAGAAAACCCTCTGAGGCAGTTCTGCTCTGCTGTATAGGACGGCTAGGAGTCGAAATTGACTTGACAGCACACAACAGACCTGGTTTTTGTGCAATGTGGAGGTCTACCTCTCTGTTTAGAACTTGATATTTAATTCCACAGTCAGTCTAAACTTTTGTTCAGTGTCCAATGATTTCTCTATGTCCCAAGTCTCTGTGTGAAGAATTTTTCTAGCTTTTGAGATGACCTCAGATTTCTGACCAAATTCTGTCACTCAATAAAAAAAGAGAGAAAGCACTATTAGTACTGATGTCACTGCCAGCTTCCCATTTTGTCAACACAAATAAGCCTTTGAAAGACAAGCAAATAGATATGCACCATTCTGAGCAGCCAATGATATGAAAAGATTATTCTATGAAGGCTTCTTTTTCTATGTCACACTAAGGAAATTATTTTTTTAAAAAAAATAATGTGCCAAATTCAAATATAAGTCTTCAATGAGTGATTTTTTTTTCTTTTACTTAAAATGTTATCTAATTTTATTCATTTATGTGGACATTAAAAAATAATAGAATGATGAGTGTGTATATGTTTTCAAGGCCAGATTTAAAGCTAAATTATCTCAATTTTAATTTTTTTTAACCTGTTTCAAATTTATTATTTTGTAAAAAGCTTCCATTTCCTGAATTACATCTTAAAGTTGAAAATGGCAGTGTTCAAGAGCTTACTCCATGCTTCAGTACGATATTGCTATCGTTAGGTGCCATTTCAATTTGCAGCGACCCCATATGGTTTTATAAGCTGTAGTCTTTATGGTAGCAGATTCCCATTCCTGGATCTTTCTCCTGCGGAGCCACTAGGGGGGTTTGAACCAGCAACCTTTCAGTTAGCAGCTTAGTACTTAGCTGTTTTGCCACCAGGATTCCTTCCCTTTGGTATAGCCTCATGCATTTGAAAATATACGGCCAGGAATGGAGTCAAGCCTTCTGTTTCTAAAGCCATCCTTGCCACTTGGCCTCCCTTATTAACTTTGAAATAACCTCATGAATATCCATATCCAGCATTCATTATAGGGGGACTAGACCCATATGTTATTCACAAAGATTCTACCTTGATTCTGATAATCCTAGATTTTGAGATAGAGGTAAGATAAGTCTATAACTTTAACAGCTAGAAACAACATATGTTTTTTCCCCCCAGCAAATCAATATAATGATTCTATTATCCATTAAAACAGGAACAAAAAGAAAATTCTTGCTTTGTACCAGGGAGAAAGCAAACCAATAATAAAACTCTCAGAAATGAATTAACTAAATTTAATTTTAATGCAAATCCTTTTTTAGTGGCAATCTGTAAGTATAAATTCTTTTAAAAAATACAAATAACTAAATTAATTTTCTATTAATCTGTGGTGGCCTCTGCTTGATACTATCATATTTTCTCAGCAAATAGTAGAGATGACACAAAGAGAAGTCTACTTGTTTAAGCTTCATGCATCTGCTCAAATGGACTCCCCTCAAAAAGTCTAAATACACAGTTAGAGGATTCCAAGTAGTGAGTAATTTCAGTCATAATGACTAAATTCTACAATTAGTGAACACGTATCACAAGAAATCAGGTAAACTTCTGCTTCATCCTTAGAAACACTGTATGTTCCATCACATCTGCAGCTCAGAGGAAAAGAGTGATCATCTTTACTCCAAGACATTTCTTTAGGATATTTTGTTGTTAGGTGCCATAAAATTGGCTTCAACTCGTAGCGCCCCTATGTACAACAGAGTGAGAAAATCACCCAGTTCTGCACCGTCCTCACAATCCCTGCTATGCTTGAGCCCATCATTGCCAATGTGTAAATCTATCTCATTGACAGCCTTCTCCTTTTTGCTGACCCTTTACTTCACCAAGCATGATATCCTCCTCCAGGGACTGTTCTCTTCTGACAACAACTTTGGAGTAGGTAAGACAAAGTCTGGCCATTCTTGCTTCTGATAGACCATTCCAGCTACACTTCTTCCCAGACATATGTGTTCATTCTTTTGGCATTCTGTGGCATTTTCAGTGTTCTTTGCCAACATCACAATCCAAAGGTATTAACTTTTCTTCATTTTTCCTTATTCATTGTTCAGCTTTCACATGCATATGAGGCAACTGAAAATACCATGGCTTAGGTTAGGCGTACCTTAGCCTTGAAAGTGACATCTTTGCTCCTTAACACTTTAAAGAGGTCTTTTGCAGCAGATTTGCCCAATATAACATGACATCTAATTTCTTGACTTCTACTTTCAGGGGTGTCAGCTGTGGATCCAAGTAAAATTAAATCCCTGACCACTTCAATCCTTTCTCCATTTATCATGATTGTTTATTGGTCCAGTTGTGAGGACTTTTGTTTTCTTTATGTTGAGGTGTAATCCATACTGAAGCCCGCAGTCTCTCATCTTCATCAGTAAGTGCTTCAAGTCATCTTCACTTTCAGCAAGCAAGGTTTTATCATTTGTATAGTGCAGGTTGTTAATGGGTCTTCCTCTAATCCTGATGCCATGTTCTTTATATAGTCCAGCTTCTCAGATTATTTGCTTAACATACAAATTGAATAAGTATGGTGAAAGGATACAACCCTGATGCACACCCTTCCTAATTTTAAACCATGCATTATCCCCTTGTTCTGTTCCAAAACAACCTCTTTTTCTATGTACAGGTTCCTCATAAGCATAATTCAGTGTTCTTGAATTCCCATTCTTCACAATGTTATCCATCATTTGTTATGATCCACATAGTAGAATGCATTTGAATAGTCAACAAAACACAGGTAAACATCTTTCTAGTCTTCTTAGCTTTTAGCCAAGACCCATCTGACATCAGCGATGATATCCTTTGTTCCACATCCTCATCTGAATCCAGTTTGAATTTCTGTATTCATGCATCTACTAGTCCAATATTTCTTAGCTCATCTTCATGGTACTGCATTTCATACTCTTTTCTTGTCTCTTGAGTCCCTCAAAATTCCCATGCCTCATTGTTTTTGATGAACTTTTATATGCATTCCTGCATTGCTCCTGCTGACACATCTGCACTTTGTTTGGATGATACATTAAAATGAGTTTTCATACTTTTGTTTTTGATCTGACACACTTGCAGATGGCTCTGCACCCAGCATGCTGTACCAGTCTTATCTTGGTATCTGCCCATATGCTATCATCCATTGTACAAGAAGTGGCTTTTCTCAGAGTAGCAAACTTCACACAGCCATTGGTGTCCATGCTTTCAGCCACAACTCAGAACCCTCTGAATTTTAATTTTCCTCAAGTGCAAACTGGTCATTTTTCCCAAAATACTAATTAGTAAAAGAAATGGGCATTCATACACATAATATTTCTGATATTTCTAATAAACAGCTTATAATAAGTAATAGATTTTTCTTTTAATAATTATGTTAAATTCAAAGATGCCAACACTCTTCTGATTCCTAAAATTGTGTACCTCTTAAGAGTTCTGGTTCTATTCTTCCTTCTCCTCCTTAGAACACCCTGGTGATATTCCTCACCACTCTCTGTTGTTTGTAACCAAAGAAAGCCTCCTGATGCAAATACTTAGTCTGCTTATTCATATATACTTCATTTAATTGAGTAACTGCCCTAGAGACAGGCTGGCTGTAATTCTTTTTGAGTGTTCAAAAAAGACATTAGAATAAGCTGAACAATGGCTTTTCCCATTCAAGATTATTCATCTACTGATTTAGAGAAGTAACATGCCCCCAAACTCTTCAGAGATGCTATCTTTTCCATAGATTCCACACCCTAAGGGACAGGAACAAACGGCTCCCCAAAAGTCTGAGCAATTATCTGGAATAAGGAAAACCCCAGAATGCCTATTAGAATCAGTGTTAACCTTATGCTTTATTACTGTTGATATTTGCAAGAAGAGCATAGGGGTGGCATCTTCTGACCTCCTCCAGCCTCACAAGGGGGAAACAGTCACCATCAACAGCCCAAGCCTTATTCTTATGAGGCTAGACATGCCACCACTCTCCAGCCTTTTTAACAATTCTGACACCAACTGTCCCTCCCACAGCACTCACTACTTCTCAGCTGGGTTCGATAATGCATCACAGTGGCCATACAGAACTCACACACAGTACTCATGATTATGGGGTTTATTAGGGAAGTAACAGGTTACAATTTAGGTTCACGAATGTGCTCAGGATACAATTCTCCATCACCACAGTCTCCCCTCTGCTGTGCCCTCAGACATGCCTCTCTGGCCCTTGGCTTCTCAGCCTAGCCTCTGCCCTGCTCAGGCAAGTGTTATAAACCTCTTTTAGCTCTGCCAATAGGTACACCTCGATGCATCCTAATCCACCAGCAAGCCTCGTGGACAGAGGCACTCAGTTTTCTACCTCTGCGGACTGGAAAGCCGGCCACTCTGTCTCATGCCTCTTGGTTCCTCAGCCTGTTGTCTCTGCCATCTCTCTGTGAAGGAAGTCCAGCACAGGTATCTTGAGTCCTAGGAGATCTTGGGTCCAGGGACACGTGTCCCTCCAACTCAGGTTCTTCTCTCTTGATGGCAGTTAGATTCCCCCCTTCTGCCTCTAGGAGGGATCATTTTAAGCCTAGGAGCATAGATAAACTAACCAAGCCTCACA